AAGACAGAGACAGAGATATAGACACAGACAGAGGTAAAGACATAGACAGAGACAGATATAGACATAGACACAGACAGAGATATAGACATAGACACATACAGAGACATATACATAGACACAGACAGATATAGACATGAACAGACAGAAATATAGACATCAGAGACAGAGATATAGACAAGGACAGAGACAGAGATATAGACATAGATATAGACATAGACAGAGATATATACATAGACAGAGAATATATAACAAAAGATAGAACACAGACACAAATACCAGACATAGACATTATAGACACAAGACATAGAAATAACAAAAGAGACATAAACATAGACACAGACACAGACAGAGATATAGACATAAACACAGACAGAGATATAGACATAGACAGACAGAAATATAGACATAGACACAGACAGAGATATAGACATAGACACAGACAGAGATATAGACATAGACACAGACAGAGATATAGACATAGACAGACAGAGATATAGAGACATAAAATAGACATAGACACAGAAGCAGACATAGACACAAAACACAGACACAGACATAGAAATAGACACAGACATAGACACAGACAGAGATATAGACATAGACACAGACAGAGATATATACATAAAATAGACATAGACACAGAAGCAGACATAGACACAAACACAGACACAGACATAGAAATAGACACATACATAGAGATAGACACAGACATAGACACAGACATAAACAGACATAGACATAGACACAAACAGACACAGAAATAGAGACAGACATAGACATACACAGGCACAGACATAGACATAGACACCGACATATACAGATATACACAGGCAAGACATAGACACAGACGTAGACATAGACACAGACATAGACACACATGCAATCTCGGAAAGGAAAGTATGGCGATTATTTCTGTATTTTCATTATTATTACTTTCAGTATCATTATTATTATTTTCATTACTTTTACTTTAATTATTAGTATCATTAATATTTTCACCATCCTATTTATCATCTCTGTTATTATCATTATCATCATCATCATCATTATTATCATTATTATCATTAATCATCATTATTATTTTTATCATTATTGTTATTATTACAACTATCATTATTCTTATGTTTTTGTTACTGTTATTGTTATTATCATCATTATTATAATTATTATCATTAATGTCATAATTAGTTTCATTATCATCATTGTTATTGTTGTTATTATTCCATTCTAATAACTCCTGTATGTGGTCATGACTGATTCTTTATAACGGACTATTAATCCCTCACACACACACACACACACACACACACACACACACACACACACATATATATATATATATATATATATATATATATATATATATATATATATATATATATATATATATATATACACATATATGTACGTCGTTATATTCTTTATAATGGACCTTTCCTACAGTGCCTACACACACTATACCCATACAGAGATTATGTGATATATACGTATATGCGTGTTTATGTTTTTTTCTGTGAGCGTGTATGTCTGTGTATGTGAAGATAACAAGAGAATTAGCAGTTATTCGTTCTTTTTCGTTCACAGAAATTTCTTAAACGACTTGTGAGTGATTTAGAACTGTTATTATTTTCAAGAACGAACCTCGTTCTTCCCTTCTCCCCTTAAAAGAGAACTTGTATATACTTTCATGATGAATAGATACATTAAGAAAAAGTGAAAAAACGGACATGGATCTTCCACGTTCTAAAAAATATCAGCATTTATATAACTCTTCACCTTAATGTTTATTAATGAACAATGGCCAGATGACATACACTGATTTACATACAACAAATAGTCGACATCTTAGTGCATTCCAAATATGAATTTTATTTTAGGTCGCCTATGTGAACAAATGAATCTGTTTTTAGTGCAGGAACAACATAATCATCGTTATTCTTTAAAAAATATCACGTTTTAAACTCTGCAAGACGGGAAAATTCCAAGACCATTTTTGGGTTCCGGAATAATCATATAGCAAACTGGAACATGAAAGATTAACTCGACTGTAAAAAAAAAATGTTTTGCTCTAGTTTTAAAATGAAATTAATGAGCGTTTCTGCGAAATGATAGAATACAAATTAAATATGATACATATTTTTCCGTTTTCTGTTTCACTTGGTAGAATGGCTTGATGTAAATCTGATAACAATATCAATTTAAATGGATTTTAATTCAACATGCCAAAGTACCCGGATTTTAGAGGATCCAGTGCAATCTATTGTAGATGGATCTGGCGATATCCTTAGTAACAAATGCACATTTCAGAACATTAAATGGTTATAATCTATTTAGCATTACGACTGACTAGCCAATATTTTCCTAATGAATTTTCGTAGCGAAATGACAGATTCAATCTTGTCAACATTTATAGCAATCTATAAAATACTTCGTGTTTATCATATATCCGTTATATACATTGCTTTCAATATATTTTGTGTTTCATTACATTCTATATTTCTATATTTCTGTGATAATTGGATTCACAGATGGATATTGAGTATCAGCCCAACTCGGTGTAATTTTATATACTATTGTGGGCATTCATAACGCGGTGAATACATTGCTGGAATATCATCTTCGAACTGAATCAGTTTTACTTTGCTGACTGAAAATGGATTTACATTTCATTAAATCTCCAATACATACAGATTAACTCTAATGCTGCTGGTTCATAGAATGTGTGTCTGATTATGCATCCATTTCTCGGGAAATAATTATACATACCTTTAAAAAAAATCTTCATAAAATGAAACTTTACTTTTGCAGCGTAAAAGAGAGAGAATAGAAGAAAAAGAAAATCCAATATTACGAGTTTTGACATATCTTTTCTTATCTTTCCAGGTTCTGCCAGCTATGTCATCTCTACTTCCCTCATGTCTGGCTCCAGTGACACTTGTTTGCGATGGCCAAACGCCCATTGCATACTGACCTGATGCAACATGTAGAGTGCTTGCAGAGTTCACCATCTCACGCTGAATGCAGACTGGTCTTGCCTCTGTCTCCGCGAAGCTCAACCGATGCAGTGAAGCGCAAGTGGTGGTGGAAAAGTGAGCGGGAAGGATGTGGGCGGCATGGTGACAGTGACGCCCACCAGCCAAAGTTTACATCAGCGGACAGACCATGAGCAAGCCGCAGGGTAGTCGCAGCCCTTTGTATCAGCCCAGGACGCGAGCGGTTTTGGCGTGGGCGTGTATGTGGGCCTGGGTCGTGCTGGAGGTGTCGGCGGAGTGCCCGAAGGTCTGCGAGTGCAAGTACCGCGGCGGGAAGGAGCTGGTGGTGTGTCGCAACGCCCACTTCATCGACATCCCGCGCGGCCTCCCCCCCAGCACCCAGGTCCTCGACCTCCGCCACAACAACCTCAAGATTCTTCCGCGCGATGCTTTCGTGTACTCGGGCCTCGTCAACCTGCACAAGGTCTGGCTCAACTACTGCAAGCTGATGTGGCTCGAGGACGGCGCCTTCCGCAAGGTGGCGAACGTCCTCGAGCTCGACCTCAGCAACAACAAGCTCCGCTCGGTGCCCTCGGGGGCGCTGAAGGACCTGGGTCGCCTGAGGGAGCTGAGGATTGCGGACAACGATCTCAGCACCATCGCGGATTCAGCGTTCAAGTACTCCCTAAGTTTAGTCCAGCTGGACCTTAGCCAAAATAGAATAGCGACCATAGAACCCGGGGCCATAATGATTCTCAAGAACCTAGAGGTGCTCAACATAGCCGACAACAAGCTAATAGCATTGGACGGGAACGAACTGCGGCCGCTGTCTCTGCTGAGCGTCATTCGCCTGGAGGGCAACCCGTGGCACTGTGACTGCCACCTGCGGTCGCTGCGGCAATGGTTCTACGACCGCAGCATGGCAGCGTCGGTTCCCCCCTCGTGTTCGAAGCCTCGCTGGCTGATGGGGAGGGACTGGCAGCTTCTGGAGAACGAGGAGTTCATCTGCGTGCCCAAGGTGACCGCCGTTGCTCCCAGGGTGCTCGCTGCCTACGGCGAAAATGTTTCATTGTTGTGTAATGTAGAGACAGAGGTAGAGACAACCATATTCTGGCTGTTTGGCGACAGCCCGGTGTACAACGCGAGTGAAGTTGAGCAATATGAAGTCTCCGAACTTCTGGCTCCTAATAACACGACGTACATCTCCAACTTCACCATAACGGACATCGCGCCCGAGGACCAGGGCGTGTACCGGTGCGTGGCGGAGAACAGGGCGGGGCGCGGGGAGACCAACTTCACGGTGCAGGTCTCGCACGAAGTCGCTGAAGTTCGAGTGGCAAACATTGAAGAGACTTCTTATATGACGGAAGGCCTACTCGGCGGAATTGCTACATCTGTATCAGTGTTACTGCTTGCCTGTAGTCTTTTATACTGTAAATTTCGTAGTGCGAGAGTGCGTGAACCGGAACCGAAGGTCGAGGAGTCGCCCGAGCCGCAGAGCTCCACCTGCGACGCCCAGCACAAGTTCGCCGGCTACCACATCATCCCTTCGTGCGACTCGGAGGAGGCGCAGGCGCCGCGCGACGCCGAGGTGCAGCAAGCGTGGGCCTGCAGGGAGGTGTCCAGCAGCGACTCGAGCCGGCCCACGGAGGTCAGCATAGAGCCCGGACTCATGCAGGACCCCTCGCCACAGGGACCCAGCGCGCTGGCCATGCCCCCCAGCAGCGTCTCATTCGTCCAAATCCCCAAGATGGAAGCGGCCTACACCCTCAACCTCCCGGAGGAGCGAGGGCGCTGGAAGAACTTCACCTGCGGCAACAGAATGTGCGGCCGCTCGGTGTCCCAGGCGTCGCTCCGGGACAGCGAGCAATACCCCGACCTGCTGGACCTCCCGCACTCCCAGCTGACGCAGCTACAGAATCAGCCGCAGCAGCTGCACGCGATTCAGACCCAGGATGGAGTTGAGCTTCAGACCACCAACCCAGCCTTCTGTACTAGACCGTGAGTAGAGAAAAGTCCATCGACTTATTCAACAATATTTCCACCCCCTTTTACACTGCACCCTCTCAACTCCCCACTTTACCACCTCGAATCCACACAATACGTAGCAGATCCCCCAGATCCCTAGGGCTAACCACCTGTAAACAACAGACCACAAATATAAAGAGACACTCAATAAACGAAAGCCTTTATGCCCATAGAAGGACCCGGAGTGACGCCGTCTGCAGGTCAGCCTCGGTCCGACAGACGTCCTCAACACAGGCCTCCCCTCAAAACACCCAGCAGGACCCTTCAGACTATAGGTTAGTGGAGCCTCACGTTCCCTTGTTTAAATGCAAAATACTGATTTCCGTATTAGCTCAAATCTAGTAGGTTTCTACGTATTCTGAATTGGAGATATGTATAGACGTGTTTACTGCTAATGGGGAACTCTGCTGTTTAACTACGGTGATTTCGTATTCATAATAACAATGGAGTATTAAGGTTTGTTGTTGTACTAATAATAGGGGATCTGCACTATTGTCTCGTTCTGTACTGTACTCTGCAATATGCATGATGTATAATACTAATAATAGGGGGACCATGCACTAATTCCTTCAGGTCTTCTCCATGTGCTCTCATCATCTCGCCCATTAGTGAAGCAGCATCCAACGCGTACGCCCACGCTCACGCCCACCTGCCCATGAGCAGCCACCAGTGTCTTCCCACGCCGCCCATGCTGGAGAGTCACGACCAGAGGGCGCTGCGACAACTTGTGGCATCGCAAAGGTTATACGAGTGGCCGTTCTATGGTCGTCTTCATTATATGCAGATTAACGCTCATCCGCTTTCATATCATGCGGGAATTAGACATTAGTCATTTGCCATTCAACAGGATGTGCGAATCCAATTTTTCTGGTCAATGTATTAATTTTTTTTTTCTCTCTCTCTCTCTCTCTCTCTCTCTCTCTCTCTCTCTCTCTCTCTCTCTCTCTCTCTCTCTCTCTCTCTCTGCACAGGACGGACTGCACGCCCGCGGGAGGTGCGTGCAAGCATGCGGACACGGCCGACCCTTACCACTTCGAATACCACGCGGCGCAGCTCGAGAAGTTCCTGCAGGAGTACCGCTGTCTCCAGGCGCAGCTCCTCCACATGAAGCAGTCGTATGAGGCGCATAAAAGGGCTGGTTCTATGCCGAGGTGAGAGCCTTGGGGGAGAAGGAGCGTGTGGGCTGTTTCATTCCATGAGGTTGGGGACTAGTTTAGTATGCTGGTTTATTCCAATTGGCTTTTGTTTTAAGGTTTAGGGGCTTTGTGTGGGATTAAACTCATTAATATTTCTACATCTGGCGATTACACTGTGATGGTTCGCTTTGTTTAATTTGATGGTAATGCCGGTTGATTAAATTTCGTTTTTTAAATATTAATAACTTTACGTCGGGTTAAACTCATTAGTATTTCTGTGTCACCCTCTTTCTTCCTGCCGGAATGTTAAACTGTTTAAGCGTCAATTTATTAGTTTTTTGTGTATTTTCCTTCCTCTCTGTCTAACATTATGATGTTTGCTTCTTGTCTATGCCTGCTTGTCCTAGAGGTATGCTATACAGGCTGCCTATCCGTCAAGACGTGAGACTTTGTGTGTACAAGTTTATTTGTTATGTGATTATAGTCTGCGCATTTTATTATTATTATTTTCCTTCATTTCCCTCACTGCTTCAGGTTGGACTGCTGCTCCCAGGTGGGCGAGGGCGCCCAGGCGAGCCCCGTGCCCGCCCTCCCCAAGGAGGTCTGCTGCGCCTGCACCGCCCACTCGCCCTTCGTGGGGCATCCCCCAGAGGGCGCCGAGAAGGCTCCGCAGGCAGCCTCCGTCGTGCCCGGATACCCAGGCGGTCAGCAGCTCAGCTCCCCCTGCGGCTTTGCGGCGGAGAGCGACGTGCCCCAGGCCGTGCCCTGCGGGTACGCCGGGCCCAGCGGCATGCCGGCGGTGTGCCCCGCGGGCTACGCCGACTCCCCGACGCTGCCCGTGCCGCAGGCGTGCCAGTTCTCGGGTGCCGGCGGCGCCAAGAAGCCCGAGGAACTGCGGCGCGACTCGGGCAGCCCCGCCGCCAGGGAGTCGCCGCGCGCGCGCCCCGCCGACGACCTCCGCGCCGCCGACGCCAAGTTCCACTCGCCCGACCAGGCTGTGAGGAAGGCCACCGTCGCCTTCGCTGACCCGCCGTGTCCAAGGGCCAGCACGAGGGCCAGGTGGGCGTGCCCCAGGCGCTCTACGGCGCCAAGGACCCGCTCTACGCAGAGTCTTCCTCCTCGGACGCCGGCGGCTCGTCCGCCTCCCCGACGCAGTCCCAGGCTGGCGCGCGCCCGCAGCCGGACGCCCACAAGGCCCCCCAGACGGCGGCCGCCACGCGGAAGCCCCCTCCGGCCGCAGTCGCAGGCGAGAAGGCGCCGCAGACGCCCTCCGTCGCCCACAAGGAGCCCCTGAAGTCCATTCTGAAGAAGACGCACGACGGCTCCGGCAGGCGGCGCAGCGGCCAGTGGGCTCCGGCGGCAGCTCGGCGGACTCGGCGTCGCCGCACCGCGCCGCCGTCGCCGCGTCGCAGCCGCAGTACCACCACTACGAGCCGCGCTGAGGCCGGCGCCGAAGGTAAGGGGATTTATAATAAGATTTAGGGAAGTTTGTTGTCAAGCATTATCTGCAATCAATCACACAGCAGCCACTTTTGTCATCATTATATTAATTCTCGTAATTCTAAAATCATATCATCATCATCATAGTCATCATAATCAAAGTCTTAGTCATAGTCATCATTGTCATTATCATTATTATAATAATTAATATAATAATGTCATCCCAATCTAATCATTAATTACAATAATTATCATTTTTTATTTCCATCAATAAAATTACCAAAACTATCTTTACACTACCGGGAATCAGTTTAAACAAAAGATGTACACGAAACAAACAAACATAAATGATGATATCACTTCCATTCACAATTGCAAATCTATAATAATTTCTCCTCCCTCCTCCCCGGCCATTCAGAAATTGCATTTTCCCCCAGATTTCTCAGTGAAAATGATTCGGTGCAACATTGCAGTTAAACTTTAGCGCAGAGTTGCAAGATCATTCGAACTCCCTTCTTGTTCGGAATGAAAATGTCATTGGGAGACTTACAAACAAGCTAACGAACCTGTTATTACGGGAATTAGATCACTATCTCTTCTGCTTGTTTCTCACTTTCGCTTTAAAAAAATCATATTCGGGTGGTGTCACATCTGGGTATTTCATTATTCACTATATTCACTATTGTATTTTTTTTTCCATTTTCGTTATTTTTTCTTTTTTTTATAATCGGTTCTTGTCGTTTTTTTCTTTCCTTTTTATTTTTTCTCCGTTTTTTCGTTTTTGATTCGTTTCACTTTTGGTTCTAATCACCGTCGGTTAATTTCATTTTCACACACACACACACATACACACACACACACACGCACACACATACACACACACACGCACACACACCAGCACACACACACACACACACCCACTCACACCCACACACCCTCACAGATCTTCAATATAATCTTAATATATGAGCAATTGCAATCATTTTATTGTTCTGTCGTTACTGCCCATCTGCCCACCTTCCCGGATGTGGCCGCCATCTTGAATCTCTCTCCCCTCTTTGCGTCGTCTGCATTTATAAACGTTAAACATTTTGTTCCAGAAATAAATGATAAATGCGTAAGACTTCATATTATATATAATTTTCTAAAAAGTGTAAAATCTGCTTTCATGCTGAATCGCCCTTTCAGTTTCATTTCCAGTTTAGGAAGCAGTAAGCTCATTATCTGAATTTCTTATCAAGGAATTAAAAAGATTATAATGTTGGAGCAAGTCGGTTAATACACCTACTTTATATATATATATATATATATATATATATATATATATATATATATATATATATATATGTATACCATACATACACACACACACACAAACATAAACAACATACACGCACACACACACACACACACACACACACACACACACACACACACACACACACACACACACACACACATATATATATATATATGTATATTATATATACATGTATATATATATATATATATATATATATATGTATACATATATATATATATATATAAATATATATATATATATACATACACACACACACACACACACACATATATATATATATATATATATATATATATATATATATATATACATACATACACATACAACACACACACACACACACACACACACACACACACACGCGCGCGCGCACAACCACTATCATCTTATTCATCAACAATATAGGTGAATGAAGTGCGAAAATTAACACAAAATATATTTTATTGGTTAATCAACATATTGTTACCTGGATTGATTTTATGGGAAGATCGTTTAGTTACATATATAAGTTTATAGCATTAAAGATATCGGGAATAACTGTAGTAATGGTATAGAAATAGTGGCATTTTGTAAGGGTAGTAATTCTGATAAAAGTAGTAGTAATTGTACTCTGAGTAATAATAGTAAAGGAAGTTCTAGTAATAATAGCAGCCTTAGTAGTATTAGCAGCAATATTTTATATTTATTTTTCTGTTGTTTTTCGTTATTTCTCAGCCATATCAATTAATACATATATAAGAAAATGGCATCTTGGAGTAATTAGAGAAAAGGGTAAATGAAACCTTGCAGAATTTTCTCGAAAGTTGCCTTAGCGGGGTTGAGCTTTTACTGTAAGGTTTCCGGCGCCGTCAGTCTTAAAGGAACGATACCCAGAAAATATAAAAACCGGCAACTCAATCTATTTTCTGGAACTATACCCAGAAAAAAAGAGAAAAACTGGCAACTCAATCTATATTCTGGAGCGCTTCGATTCACTGAGTCTCTTTTGATAAAAAAAACAAAAACAAAAAAAGAAAACTAAAATGTTGTTCAAGGATAAAACAATAAGAAATATTGAACACAAGTTTTGAAATAAAGTAAAAATAAATATCAAGAGTTAG